AAATTAGTTGGTACTCATTTTGAGCTTATCATAACTTATAAATTAAGCTCATCGAATATACTTTGTATCAAGACATTTTGCGAACACACAACTATCACTCTCTTATCATTCGCACATTTAATAAATCTACTTCTTCACCCTCGAGCGTGCTATAAAGTTTCTCTGGGGTAACTTATTTTAAAGATAAGCTTTGAACGTGTGACTTACGTAGATTTTTTTGCATGTTGGCGAGTTCAATTTTAACAGTCAATCTCTAAGCATCAATCACTCAACTTTTTAATGAACTTTTTATACTTGAGATCTAGATAGGCTATTTTTATGTACAATTGTACTGAAATCTTGAATGCTTTGATATCGAATAAATGATCAAAATACAATGTTTAGTCAAAACATCTTCGAAGCATTGAAATTTAATTTGATAAAGTTAACCTTAATTTAACTACAAATTAATCAATCACTTTGTAGGTTAGAAATAGAGCCAATTGTTATGAATATGTGATATATTTGATACCACTCATTATGAATATTAGATAATGGGCAAGATGAAAATAACAATTATAAGAATACAAGATTTAAATGAAAATTCAAGATGAGAGAAATCACGAACAGAAACAGAAAGTCCATTATATCAAAAGTAAGGATATCCAATGTGTTAGTCCATATCTCACAAGACTCTATCCAGATATCACTATCTGCGAGTCTAACATGTTGGACTAGATTTTACAAGACTATATTCTGATATCACTTTTTGCGAGTCTATCTTTATTAACCTGGATCACTATTCGAGTCGATCAAATAAATATGTGTAATACACTACATATTCATAATACAAGAAATCCTAACATATTAGAAGAATTAATATAAACAAGAGTTTAATACAATGTGAAGTTCTATTACAATAAGTAAAATCAATAACGAAGTATTTGAATTGAAATATGAGAGAAAAACTACCACAACCGAGAAACCTTCTCCTTGCTTTCTTGGGCCATCTCAAGACATCTTCAAATTTGCTATCAACTCCCAATAGTCCTCCAACAGCATTTCCATTCAAATACTTTACAAGAATTCGGGTTACCGTCCAATTCTAACAAAATACACCTTGACACACATTTAACTGGAAAGAATAAAACTTAACTCTTTAACAAACTCCAAAAAATTCTCGTAAATGAACATCCCGTACAAAACACTACACCTCTTACACAAAGCCCCTAAGGGAAAACTCAATAAATGTCATCTGAATTCAAACACTATTTGCGAGTAGAATTACCTTAGGTACCAAATTTGCTCGAATCGTTATAAACAATAAAAGCATCAAATTCACAACTAACTCCATCTAAATTACAAAATTTACTCGAATTATAACCACGAGCAACAAAATCACAATTAATTCCGTACGTTGCTTCTCCAACGTTCAAATAAAAAATTTGTCATAACAAAAATTTGGTGTTGCCATCCAAAAAGCAGAATATCAAATTTCATATTTGCCACCCAAAATAATCACACCTTGTTCTGCAAAACCAAATTGGTTCTCATAGGAACTGTCGAACCTTGGTTCTGATACCACTTTTTAGAAATTGAGCCAATTGTTATGAGCACGTGATAGATCTGATATAACTTGTTATGAATATTAGATAATGAATAAGATGAAAATAACAATTATAAGAAGCAAAAATTTACTTGGAAACCTAATACATGAAAAACCACAGATAAAGACGGGAAATTCACTATATCAAAAGCATTGAGTTACAATATGTTAAATTTGATCTCACAATGCTCTCTCCTTATATCACTATCTGCGAGTCTCTTTCTATTAACCTAGATCCCCCTAGATCACTTTCTGAATTGATCAAATAAATACATGTAATACACCGCATATTTATAATACAAGAATTTCTAATATATTAAGAGAATTAATTCAAGTAGGAGTTTAAAATAAGGTGAAGTCCTATTATAATATCTAAAATTAATAACAGAGTATTTGAGTTGAAATATGATAAAAAAATTATCAAAATCGAGAAATCTTATCTTTGTCGTCTTGGACTCCTTTCAAATATCTTCAACTCTACTGCCAACTTCCAATAATTTTTCAACAATATTTTCAATCAAATACTCGATAAGAATTCGAACGGTAACTCAAATATAACATTTAGTCCCGTTTGAACCACATTAAAATTTTCATTTTTATTTGCATTCATCTACTCATTTCCAACCGCACATTCTTTCATAAAATAATATTTTCCATCACATTAAATAACTTTTGCTTATTTTTCAACCACACATTCTTCATCAACCTATTATTTCAAAATACATTGTTAACTTTACTCAAACAAATATTGCAGCTGACTCTCAATTGCTAGTTGCTACTAAAGACAAATGACGATTCTTGTACCAATTGCATCTCACGGTTACGTACCAATGTCGACATAATTGATAATTCATAGAAAAGCTCTCAAGACCGACTCTTTATTGACGAAAACGCACTCCAACTGCAACTTTTCCCTTGTATTTCTCTGTCGGACAGGCGCCGGAGAATCTAAATCCATCCGGATAATCCGAAAATGAGACGGCCGGCGAATTCGTCAAAGATCAACTTCAACGTCGAGTCCCAGAAGATCGACGTTGATAATCGAATCTCTCTCCGCAATTACTATCGCATCTCCGACAACCTCCTTAAGCAGGTCCGTAAACAAAACCTCAATTTCTATTTGAAGAGGTTGAATAATATTGATCAATGCTTATAACGATTTTGTTTGATATATCGAAAGTGAAAAGATGGGGGTTTTTTTTTTCTGTTTTATTCTTCCAAATTAAATTGGGATTCGGCTCTATATTTTTAATATATATGCGTAGCATATCTATTGTTGAGAAATACTAAAAATGTTTGTTATTTTATTTTATTTTGCTAGAATAAATAAGTTCTTTTGCTTTCAATTTGGTCAGTATTTATGTGATGTTCTGGAATATAGCCATTAGCAATTTTTGGATTTATTTTTTTGGCCAAAAATTGAATCCTTGGCTTATAAGATTTTATGTGCAGGCGAATATTTATAGGGAGGAGAAAAATCTAACAGACTTGTATGTAATGCTTCTCAGATACTCGAGGTAAACGCCCATGGATGCTGATGCATATCAACTCATTACTTATTTAATTTATGAAGTTTTTGTATTTTATTAATGCTGAGGAATGTAACTTGAATTTGAGCAGTTTGGCGGTGGACACTATACCTCATCATCGTGATTATCATGCTTTATGTCAAAAAGAAAAATCATTTACCAAAAAGGTAAGTATAGTGCAGTAATAATTTTGCGTATTTGTTTTGTGTGTGTGTGTCCCTTTTTGGCTGATATCAGGCTTTACTTGCTTTGTCTCCTGGATTGCAGAAATTGTTTGCAGTGCTAGATGAGCTAGAGACTTTGAAGCCACTAGTGCGTCAGTTAGATCAACTGGAGAATGCTGACACCACATCTCAAATGCATCAGATTGTTGGCCAAAAGTTGATTCCTGATGCGTCCACAGGGTCTTTATTGCCAGCATTGAATAATAAACCTTTCTTAAGCTACGAAAATAAACAGGTATTGAGTACGACTATATTTGCTTCTGCATGAGTACTCAACTCAGTGCAAATTACTATGATGAACTCTAATAAACTAGAATATGAGCATGAACAACATATTGTTAGTTTTCTTCCTTAGAACGCATTTCTGCAGCAGTTAAGTGTTATTTCTTTCCTTTAAGATGCATCAAAATCATATTGTTTTTTTCTTTCTTTTAAGCGTGGGTATTCTAATTATTCTCCTTTTCCTAGGAGTCTCTTGTAAACATAATACGGATATTGTGCATTCTGTTTTACATTCTTTTTTCAACTGTGTGCAATTTTAATTAACATGTTATAAAGACTCTTCTGTATACTGTAATGGGTTATTCTGATGTACTCTGTGGTAAGACCAGTCTCACGCAATTTCTTCTGTCCAGTCATGAAATGAATATCATGGCTTGAACAGGCATGAAATATCTAGGTTTGTGTTAGGAAGATGTTGGTTTTGTGCCTCAGAGGTGAAGTTGATCTTGCGAACTTCTGATTTGAAGTGTGATAAGTGTGATTATTTTAGCAAGTATACTAGTTTGTTTGAAAAAACCCGAGGAAGTGTTTATTCTTGGGGAATGATAATGAATTTGGGATTTCTCGTGAAGAGAATGAAGAAAATCAACATGTTTAGGATGAGAATTAACTTTTTTGTGTTGACAGCAAGTTTTTGCAGATGTGACAACAAAATTTCTTTTAGTTATTGTAATTTACTTAATTTGGATTTAGAAGTAACATATTCAAGTAGTAGAACCTTTAACAGCTCCATTAAAGTTACTGTGTTTATAGATGGTGTTTTTTGGTAGACAATAAGTTCATTAGAAGCCATCTCTCAGCCTTTACTTATAAGCTGTCCCCGGTCTGGCCTTTTCACTGGAGCTTCTACCTATTCATATGGATATCTCTTCATAGGTTAAATCTCCCCATACTACACACACACAAACACCCTCGAAAATGGGGAAAAATTTGTAATTTTAAGCTAGTAAAATGTGTTAATTTGTCAATGTCTACTTTTTTTTCGTCCTTCCTCTTACCTTCATATCGTCTATGCAGATGTCGCCAGTTACGGCACTTTCATCTACATTGAATCAGACTAATGAGTATCCTCGAGTTTCGTCATCACATTCTATAGACACTCAGTTTCAGAAGCTGTAAGTATGCGTAACAATTATATTCTTATTTTAGATGTTGAAATCTGGTATAGTTGGACATGTCAGTTTATTGCCTGTGTAATTTGTAGAGGGGTTGTATAACTACTTTTCCTAAAGTGAATATACAACTATTGCTGCAAATGATACGATGGGTTTCTATCTTTGAAAATGTGGTTCATATATGTCAACTGATATTTAAAGTGCTAACACAACAATCTGGTATTCAAGCACTGCTGTTGTGTTATTTGTTAGACTATTAGTGCAACCCTTAGCTAATTTTAACCTTTTCTCAGACTTCTACATATCTATATTGTTTACCTCCCCTCAGGACCAATGAGGTGAGTATTTGGCCGTTAACTTCAGAATCCCGTTAAATTAATCGAGGTGCTCGCAAGTTGGCCCGGACCTCCGCAGTTATTAAAAAAAAAAAAAATTTTTTTTACCCAAAAGTTTGCTCAAATGTGATCAATCTGCATATTGTGCACTGCACGTGTTAAGAGCTGAAAAATCCTTTGTCTTTTCCATATTTGTAAAAAGATATGCCTTAACTTATCATTTGAGTTTTGTATTGAACCATGATCCGATTTTCAAATATTTGATCTAACTCACGTTCTATATAAAGTTTTTAACTTTTTCTCTGAATTTACTCTTTCCTAAATACCTCTTAATGAAACAATTTGAACTGATGATGCTTTATTTCATTTTAAACAATTTATAAGAGAATAGCTTAATCTATCTTTAGACCATGCCAACTTTAGTTATTACATCTTTCAAAGAAATAGAGAAAAAGACAAATAGGCAAACTTGGTCAGGACATAATGCCATTATGTTTCGAGTAATTTTTTGCATCCACTGTAGTTTCTTGATTGCATCTTTTGGTAGAGTAGACATTCAACTATTTGCTGGCACTTTGTGTGAATTATCGAGCAAAAATGAAATTGGAGAAGAAGTTTTGGAGGGAAAAGTTATCCCAATTTCTCAATGAATCCGATAAAGGCTGTACAAATATATACAAATGAAAAGGAATGGAAATGACTAAACTAGCCCTTTACAAATCTACAAATTACAAATTGTTCAATACTCCCCCTTAAGATGGGATATGAAAATTCAAAACTCCCATCTTGCCAATTAATTGTTGAAACTGAACACCTCCTAATGGTTTAGTTAAAATGTCAGCCAATTGATCTTGGGATGCCACATGCAGCATTTTAACTTCTCCAGCTTGCACCTTATCTCTCACTAGATGACAATCTATTTCTATATGTTTTGTCCTCTCATGGAAGATCGGCTTACTAGCTATGTGGATTGCTGATATGCAATCACAGAATAGCAATGCTGCTCGATCATGTTGGACGCCAAGATTAGCAAGAATGTTCTTTAGCCAGCTCAATTCGCAAACAGCTACAGCCATGGACCTGTACTCTGATTCAGCAGATGATCTGGAGACTGTAGGCTGCTTCTTTGATCCCTAAGATACTAGTGAATTACCCAGAAAGACACAATAGCCTGTAATTGATCTCCTAGTATCAGAACAAGCAGCTCAATCAGCATCACAAAAACCTTTAAGAATCAGGTCCGACTTGCTCTCAAACATTAGACATTGTGCTGGAGTTCCCTTCAAATACCTCAACACATGATGGACAGCTTCCAGATGTGGCTGCCTCGGTGATTGAAGAAATTGGCTAAGTACCTAAACAACATAGGATAAATCCGGTCTGGTTATAGTTAGGTATAGAATTCTACCTGTCAGTCTTTTGTAAGCACTTGCATCCTTAAGAAGTTCTCGTTTATCCTTGCTTAATTTCAAGTTCTGAGGCAAAGGATATTTGGTAGGCTTAGCTCCAAGATATCCAGCATTAGATAATACATCTAATGCATACTTTCTTTGATTAACAGAAATTCCCTTTGAGCTTCTTGTTATTTTCAGTCCCAGAAAATACTTCAAAACTTCCAAGTCTTTTAGTCTAAACTGCTTATTCAACTCCGTCTTGAACTTTTCAATGTATGGCAGATCATTGCCTCCTATTATTATATCATCCACATAAATCAATAACACAGTGGATGATCCTTTTTCTTGCTTGGTGAATAAAGAGTAGTCTGATTTTGACTGCTTAAAACCTTGTGAAACGATGTATGAGGAGCATAGTATTCCACTGCCTAGACGCCTGTTTCAGTCCATAAATGGACTTGTTCAATCTGCATACTAACTTTTCTCCACACTCCCCCTGCTGCTCATACCCCTTGGGCATCCACATGTAAACCTCCTCATCAAGTTCACCATGGAGGAACGCATTGTTGATATCTAATTGATGAAGATGCCAGTACTTATGAGCAGCAATAGTTAATAATGTCTTCACTGTCACACGTTTTGCAACAAGGGAGAAAAGTCTCTTCATAATCGAGACTAGCTTGTTGCGTGAATCCCTTTGCAACAAGTCTGGCTTTCTTTCTTTCCTCAATCCCATCAGAGTTAAGTTTAACTTTAAAAACCCATTGGCAAGCTAAAGGTTTCTTGTGAGTAGGTTGAGGAGTTACAGTCCAAGTGTTATTTGAGACAAATGCCTGAAACTCAGTTTCCATTGCCTCTTCATATGTTTTGGGCTCATACACAGTAGATAAGGCGATAGAATATCTCTTGTGGGTAGGTGACAATATACCATAGCCAGATAATCAGCAATGGAATATTGTTTGCCAGCCTTATGATCTTTCACCATGGATTTCGAATGTAGAGTAGGCACTTGAGATAGACTGCAGTGATAGCCTTGAAGGTAGGTTGGGGCTCTTTTGGGTCTATTTGAATGTCTGATGGGAACAACAGGAGCAGGAGGTCGGATAGGGGATGGAGTGGAATGAGGATTATTAGTCTGAGCAGAATCAGATGGATTTGTGTTTGAATTAAAGAGAGAATTTATATTAGTAGGAGAATCAACAGCAATGGAACCAGAATCATTGCCAAAATTTTGATTTGGAATCTCATATGGTGAATCATTGCCTTGAATAGGAAAAAGAGATGAATCAAAAGATGGAATGACATCAGATTTCAATATAGAAGCAAGGAATTTTGGATGATGAAATGAGAATATATTTTCATGGAACTTAACATCTCTAGAGGCAAACACAGTATTGGTAAGAAGATTATACAATTTGAATGCTTTCATGCCATAAGGATAGCCAATAAAAATGCATGGAATAGCTCTAGGATCAAACTTAGTATGATTCCATAAGGTGTTTTATTTTCAAGGATGAGGGTTGGAGTTCTGTTGATCAAATAAGTGGTAGCAAGCATGGTTCCTCCTCAGAATTTATGAGGTAGATTAGTTTGGAATTTGATAGCTCTAGCTATGTTCAAAAGGTGTTGATGCTTCCTCTCAACTACCCCGTTTTGCTGAGGGGTTTCAACGCAGCTAAGCTGGTGAATGATGCCATTTGAGTGGAAAAATTCATTCATGTGAAATTCAGACCCATTGTTTGATTTGATAATTTTTATTTTGCACTCAAAGTGGGTAAGGATCATTTGATAGGAGGAGTGAATAATGGATCTGGTCTGAGATTTTTTTCTCATTAGGTAGGTCCAAGTCATTCTACTGTGATCATCTACAATAGTTGGTACCTAGAGCTATCTAATGAAGGAACTGAATAGGGTCCCCATATATCGTAATGAATGATATCAAATCGTTTAGAGGCTTTAGTTTCACTCCTTGGAAAAGATAACCTATGCTATTTAGCTATAGGACATACAACCAAATTATGCAGCATAGACAATTTGGTAACAGGAATATGTCCCATTTGATAATGCCATAGATCAATATTAGTGTGTACATCAAGAGTGTTAACAGAATTACAAGAAAAATATCTTGCTTTATTACATTGCAAACTGAGAGCAGAATTGCAATTGGAATTAAGAGAAACAGGAAAGCTATTTTCTGGAATATCAGGATGGTTAAGGTCAGAATGGAGTTGTTGATCAGGCTGTTGAAACACATACAGTCCACCTTGAAGTTTGCCCACTTTAATTGTCCTCCATGTTAAAAGATCCTGGACAGCACAACATTGATGAAAAAATATCAAGAAACAATTATGTTTTAGAGTCATTTTGCTAGCTGAAATCAAATTAAACTTGAAACTAGGAACCACCAGCACTTCAGTTAAAACTAAGGCATCAGATAACTTGACATTCCCAACATGTGTGGCTTCAACAGTATCACCATTAGGCAGTCTAACAACAGCTTTAATCTTATGAGACATAGAGGTTAAGTGCAAAGTAGAACATACCATATGTTCAGAGGCACCAGTATCTATAATCCACTTAGCTACACCAGTTTTAGTGTTAGGATAAGAACAATCACTTGAGAAGGCAAAAGCATCAGGTACAGAATAGCTATTTGTAGATGCATCTTGAGCCCGTTCTTTCTGTTGAGGCACCAACATTGCTAGGACCTGCTTACACTGATCTGGAGTAATAGTGAGATTTGAAAGAGACTATAACACCATTTTGATTACCATTGGCAGATGATTGTCCCACAGCATTTGCCATTGCAGCTCTGCTTCTAGCAAATCGAATCGATGTCCAGGAGGATATCCTACAATTTTGAAACACTTTGCCTTGATGTGTCCAGGTAATCCACAGAAACTACATATATGCCTATCCTTCCTTTGATTTTGAATGAATCTAATGTCTCTCTGGCTCCCATTAGATCCTTGCGCTACATTATTTGCAAGGGTAGATACCTCAAAATTCTGTTGCCCCTTTGGAACAACCTCCTCCTGCCTTTTATCTTGCAAAATCAATGCAAAAACTTTATTAAGAGAAGGCAGAGGATCCATCAGCAGAATTTGACTTCTTACTTAAGAATAATTTTCGTCTAATCCCATTAGAAATTGCATAATTTGATCTTGGTGTTTGTAATCAGATCCAGTAATGTCATAATTGTCAAGTTCCTCCCATAATTCTTTGAATCGATTGAAGTAGGAGTTAACTGAGTTGTTCTCTTGGGAAATAGTGGAGATATGCTTCTTCAGCTCATGTATTCTAGGACCATTGCCTTGAGTGTAACGATCATTTAGTTCGATCCATATATCTCTGGCTGAATCCTTGTGCATCACACTACGATGGATCTGCTTAGGGATGGAATTGATAATCCACGAAGAAACCATGTGGTTACATCTTCGCCCGGCGCTGTACATCTGATCATCAAGCCTTGGTTTGACTATCGATCCATCTATGAAACCTTCGTTATTCTTCACACTGAGAGCCATAATAACAACACGACTCCATGTCGCGTAATTGTACTCTGAAAGCACAACAGATATGAGCTGCATCCTTGTGTTATCACCATAATGGAGATAGTATGGACTGCTTGGATCTGTGACCAAGCGTCTGGTAGCTGAATTTGTTTTTTCTCCAGCTAGATCTCCAACAGACGAGCCTTGTGACGCTATCACAGCAATCTGCAGTGCTAGGATCTTCAGTGCTCTGATACCATGTGAATTATTGAGCAAAAATGAAATTGGAGAAGAAGAAGTTTTGGAGGGAAAAGTTGTTATCCCAATTTCTCAATGATTCCGGTAAAGGCTGTACAAATATATACAAATGAAAAGGAATGGAAATGACTAAACTAGCCCTTTACAAATCTACATATTACAAATTGTTCAATACTTTGTTTTATCCACGTGCCTGGATGATAGAGCATGATCAGAGAAGCACAGCTCCTTCTTACTGCTTGTTCTTTGCATAATGTTTGAATATAGCGTTTTTACTTGTAGATTTTAACTTTTATGATGAATAGTGATAAGTTACTATAGCTTAAAAGGGAAAGTAATATATTATGTTCATGCAGTGTGGATGGATTATAATGACTTTGCTAAAGGAATCTCAAGATTCAATCTGTATTCTTTTCGATAATAATCAGTAGAATTGACAATAAGATTCCCAGGGGGCTTTCAATTTTTACTAGAGTAGTGTTGATGAATAAACTCTTAGAACACGAATACTAGTTTCCTATAGACATTCATAAGATCAGTTTATTCTTATATGTCACAGGCACTTAAAATCTTGCTGATAGTTCCTCACTATTTATGTGGTCTTAACTTTTAGAAGTTAGTTTATAAGTTTGTCCTGAAGCTTCATTATAATTTTTTGTAGAGGAGTTGACATTTGCAACATGCTTGTGCTCTTTCTGATGCTGTTCTCTGTTTTAGTGCATCTTACTATACTTGCTGTTTGTTTGTGTCTTTAGTTCCATCTAAGTCTCATTGTCGTGTTTTAATTTGACAAATAACTTGTAAACCGGAATATTAAGTCTTCAGCCAATTCAGTTACAGTAAGAGAGTTACAGATACTAACATATTCTGGAAATTTTGCAGATCTCTTGGTGTGCGTCTTCCAAAGCAGGAAACGTTGTCCAGGCATTCATTTTTAGGCCCATATGGTCTTCGTGGTCAGTGGCAGGGGCCTAGTGCTGAAAAAAAGGTGGACACACTGGACTTTCATTTCTAAATTGGATCCACTCTTTCCCCTTTAAGAAAGTCGTTTCATTCCACAAAACTTTATCTTGCGTCGATCTCATTTCACTTATTTAATTTTATTTTCTTGTACATAGGTTAACTATCCGACCAATATCGTCCACGACTTGAGTGAAATTTCAAGGTGAGAATCTTATCTTGCTTAAATGATTTCTACAATTTTTTCCCTTGTGGTCGGGTGTTTTATTCTTTTTGGGGTTTAAATAATTGCTATCTGTCTGTTTAGAATTATGATGACAGAGTAATGTCTTATTTGAAGAGTGATTGCCTTTTAAAAGGGCACATCATAATAAATGAAAGTTTGAAAACTTGGATGGGTAGTCTCCGTGTATGCATGTGTGTCTCTGTATCTGTATAACAATATGATTATATGTATATTATATTTGCATGTGTTTGCTTGTTTATTGAATGTTAATTGCTTTTAACACTTCAATATTGTCACTATGTTATAGCCTGAATCAGGTTGGACAATATGAACCCATGGCAACGAAAGATAACAATTCAGAAGCGGAAAAGTCTACTATGGAGTCTGTTCTATCTTTAGATGACAGTAGATGGCTAAAGCCTTCTGAAGATCCTGGTTCTTTAACCAAGGAAATGATGAATGAGAACGATCACTTTGATAATATCAGGCAACCTTCTCCACCTCCTGTTCTTGCACTAGTGCAGCCAGAGCTTCTTCCTATCTCTCCATCAAGAGTTGCTGATCCCAGACCAGGACCACCACTTTCTCAGGATGGGTTGCCCAGTTCCAATTCCTACCAAGATCTTCACATTGTGAGTCTGTTGTCTTGAGTCTTAACTCGAAATATCAAATGATAATTCCACTATTTTGTGAATTTTTTTATATACATTTACATTGTTCATTATTTTCGATAAAAGCATGCCTTAGGTTTTACCATTTGGCCTAATGTGATGCCCTTTGCTTATATTGCAGCCAGTGAAGATGATGGAAGATTTTTTGAGATTGGCGCATGAAAATACTAGAAAAAACTTGGAAACTTGTGGTGTTCTTGCTGGTTCACTAGTAAGAATTCTAGTTCTTTTTATTTCTTTTAACGGAAGAATGAAGGTTTACTTTAAGCACTTAATTTGCGTATTGTCTAATATATTGATATTTCACTTATTTGCAGCGAAACAGAGTATTTCATATTACTACACTCATAATTCCAAAGCAGGAATCAACTTCAGATTCGGTAATACTATTCAAGTAATATTTAAGCTGTAGTCTGCAACTCTCTAACTAGTAATCCCACACACCAAACAATAAACAATAAATGCATCTGCAGTCCCCTTCATCCATTACTTTTTCTCACCTTTTTGTAGGATTTTCCTTCTGCACTGTTTTGGTAGTAGTTAAAATTCTGAAATTAGAACATAAATATATATAAAGTAGGAAGAGTTGCACTTTTTTGAGGATAAATTAGTACTTATAGCGTGGATGACTATTATCACCTAGAAATAGTTGTGTTCTTTATCTAGCTGGGTGTGGTAGCATAAAGAAAACATTTTTAGTTAGTCCTCTCTCCATTGATTGAAATCAGCACTAAATTTCCGTTTCGGACCAGTCAGTTTTAAATGTTATTGTGTCTATATAATGTAGCAAATGTAATTTAAAGGTGCTTGTTCACTTTAATAATCTAATTAAGTTACATTTTCAGAGCTAGTTCTGATGATATTTTTCTTATTGATTACATTGACAACTATATTCTGATATTTTTATTAATTTTCAGTGTCAGACATTGAATGAAGAAGAAATTTTTGAGGTTCAAGACAAGCGTTCCCTTTTCCAGCTGGGGTGGATTCACGTAAGCTTAAGACCAACTTTTTGGCACCTTTTGCCATTATTTCTGCTCGATTAATCTCACAATGCTCTTTAACTTAATGAAGATCTTTTCTGATGTCAATTCGGTGGCTGTCAAAAGTAACAATACTAAATTAGGCATCTTGTTTATTTTTTTTCTTTTTAATTTTTGGCCAACTTTTATTAATTGGAACTTGGGACATGTTTTTGCTATGTTATATTATTATGATGCTTTGCACCATTAAAAGGAAAAGATCGTGTGTCAGACATACGTTTATTTTTCTACTTACCTTTTATTGCCCCAATTTTCTCGAATTTATATGAGCACTGTGGTTTCTCTTATTTCTTCCCCTTATGGGAGGATGGAGTTCATTGTTATGTGGATTTGTTACATACAAGATTTTGTCTTCATTTGAGATGATGAGACAACCTATTGAACACTTTCAATATCTCTCATCAGTAATTTATGATCCTAGACTCTGCCCTTCCATAAGCTTTGATTTTTGATCTAGTGTGATGCTAACATGCACAATTTTTTTCCACACTACTGCTAATGGTGTGTCTATCTTGGATTAGTTTGGTCAAGTTGTTTTATATGTGGTTTTTTGGAACTTCATTAGTTATATAAATTTTTGGTTTATTTTACGTCGTAATAGTGGATATAACATAAGACGAATGAGATGTATGAATACCTCTTGTTTTTTAGAAGAAATTAGTAATTTTTCTTTACTCGTCCAATATATTTTGTATCACTAATTTAATTTTGATTTTGCAGACACATCCGACGCAAACCTGTTTTATGTCTTCAGTTGATTTGCACACTCATTACTCTTATCAGGTAATAAGAAATGTGTTGTATTTTCTTAAGGTTGCATTCTCTATGAGGGTAATGGAGGAGTTGGGAAGGGAATGGATAACTTAAAACTCTATATAGAACAAGTAGGGAGAGGAAAAGGAAGGGCCAATAAGTGGCACGATATCTTTTTGCTTGGAATGACTTGTCCGTTCCCTTGCCTCCCTCTCATAGTCTAATTTACTTTGTCTCGACATAAACTATCGAGTCCAAACTAGCACTTGTTGCTATTGATTTAGATGGATTATGTATTAATCTAGATACCTTTAGGTTGCATGATGAGAAGTCAATGTACATTAGGTAGTTTTTGGTTTCTTTTGATCCAGATGATTATAGAAACTGATTGTGGCTTTTTAATAATTTGTATGAACTTTGTTCGAAACGATTCTTTGATTATTCTGTTTTTATTGGTGTAACCTAACAGTTATAAAATTTTCATTGCAACTAAATCAAATTTATTGATTACATCTACTTGAAAATCCAAACAAGTGGGGTTTTGTGGGTATGCCTACAATGTTTGTTCTTTATGCCAGAACTTGGACAACATGTTAGACCACAAATCTACAATTACTAAATCTAAGCTGAAAATGTCTAAGTTCTGGCAGATAGAACAAACATTTTAGGCATAACCACAATAACTGAACATAAGCTGAAAATGTCAAAGACTGTCACCATGGTATAATGCCATGCCCAATAATAACATTTATAGTAGTTAGCTCAGTAGAACATACAGTTGTTTCCCTGAAGGATGTAGCATGTCCAATAGTCTTGTGAAAAATTGTTTTAAATGGCAATAATGTAAGATCTGACTGGTGACAAATTAAGACCATTCATTAACTTAAGAAGAATGTCTTTTTCTGGATTTTTACTCCACTGGTCTCCTGTTCTACGTACTATGTTGTGCTCGTACTCTAAAATCGGTTATCTTGGCTTGTTCTAGGTCATGTTACCAGAAGCAATTGCAATTGTCATGGCTCCAACTGACACATCCAGGTAGAGTTGGATAATACCTAATCATATCATCTTGGTTTGATTAACGAGTTCTAGTTCATATCTTGAAATAATTATGTTATTGGGACCTGATTGTTCCAGTTTTTCTCCGATTACAAACCTAATGTTTGTTATTACGTTTAAGTTCGAATGAGCAACTAGTGATATTATCTTATTGACAACTTTATCGTCTTCCTCAAAATTTAATTTCAATATATGAGATGGTGTAAGTAAATTATTAGCTAAATGGGAACAAGTGTGCACAATCATTCTCTGCTACACACAGTTCCTTTGTTACCTTTTTTATTTTTTTGAGTTGAGCGAAGTTAATGTAGCTTATCATTTTGTCCAGTCCTTGTGGAAGGTACTGCATGTTGATGGGTCACATGCTTCTTGTTACATTCTCATATGAATCATCATTTGTTTTTATTGAATGGACCTTGGTGATTGATATGTATGGTTGTCCTTGCCAGAATGTATCCATTTATTCAATTTCGTTACTTGGCACCAGCATATGCACATGAAGAATTTTAGGCTAGATAAGACATGATGTGAGATTGTGTGTTTTAAGTGGCATTAGCTAGCATCTGGATGATGCATTTCTAAAGCAAGGGAACCTGGGTTTTCCCTTTCGTACTTTATCAGATTCTTGTCATTGATTGATTTCAGACCATCCTGAATCACAAGTCAGTATGAGTGTTGACAGGATTTGTATGAGGTTTAGAAGTAACCACTATGTAATGCATGCACTTTAGTCAGTCTTGCATAGCTTGGCAAGTGATTGTTGCTCACTTGTATAACTGACACCGAGATAATCTAGACCTATAGGTTTAACAACAATCATTATCATTTATCATACACTATGGAAAACGAATTTTGAACTCTTGATTTAGTACCCTGTTAACCCCATGATCTCGTTTGTTTCCTCATCCTTGAACAGGTAATGTTCACTTAGATTATACACCGTTGTTAGTATCACGTAGTGTTTGGTTAGCTAGTGGTTTGTTTCCATTTTCAAATAAACATAAAGGCAATTGCCTTGAGATTCTGGGCATTGGTATCACGAGCTCAAATATTGATATAGAAAACCTTAGTTTAGCATGACTCAACTGCTAGCAGCTAAGATGTGATTATAACATATTTTCAGAATTCATATTTAGAATATGTTCCCTTGTTGACATAAGCTTCATTTTCACCACTCAAATGATATCATGTAGCTCTTACATTATCTTTGCTTCTTTGTGAACTTTGGTCCATGTGGGAGTACATTCGTGCTTGCTATGCTAAACTATAGGCTTAGCATTATTAGGTTTCAACATCTTTCTTCTTTCTATTCTCCACTACCATCAAATCATTTTTAACTCTTGGCTTAACATTTTTAACTGCAGTAATCACAAAAGAGATTTACGATTTATAATATAAAATATTGTTGTTCTACTCAACGTGTTTCTATTGTGCCATATCGTGTTTTAGGAAAATATCATGTCATGTGCTATTGTGTGCCATATCAGTCCTGGATTCAGTGAATGTTAAGTGCTTCTGGAGGTTACATAATCCCACAAATTCAACCTTTCCAATTCAAGTTCATTTATTCATATAATACAACAGAAGAAGCTAAGATATCGAATGCTTGGAACAACTGTTAGCCATATGATTTGTGCATGTGTTAATTTTCATTCATCATATTGTCGGGGTATTTATATGTGAATTTGGTTGACTCCTCCTGGTGGGAGTCAAAAACTGTTCACCAAACTCCCGTAGTTCTCTCTTTTTCCTTCTGCTTTTCTTAAGGACCCAGTTTTCAATGTATTACTATAGGTAATGTTGTCGAGTCTATTATCTCTTAGTGTGTATTTTTCATTTGTTAATATGGCTACCTATGATTTACAGTTGCTTAGGCTTGATGTTTGTTATTGTACTAAGTGCTATTTTGTTTTGTTCATTGCAGTCCTCATGGAATATTTCACCTGTCTGATCCTGGTGGAGTTTCAGTTATTCGAAACTGTCAACAGCGTGGTTTCCATCCTCACGAGGAGTCTGAGGATGGAAGTCCTATTTATGAACATTGTTCCCATGTGTATATGAATCCCAAGTTGATGTTTGACATGATAGATCTTCGGTGAGTTTCCATTTTGGGGAAGATATTTGAAGAAGCAATATTTGATGAGAAGGAAAATGTACAGGCTTAAACCCTTTTCCTGTGACAGTCTCTCTTTTATGGGCCTATGGGGTTTTGTGGATAGAAACTTATTGAAAAATGAAGAAAATTTATTTTATTTTTCATTGTGGCGATGTAACACTATGATTAATAACAGGATTAGTTGAGGCTCTTGTAAAATCTTCATGAGGACGTTAATCACAGTTGCTTGATTTGAGTATTTCTTAAAAGCCTCGCCTTTGCATTGTCAGATTCACATTATTATTTGAGATGTCTCCCCCTGAAAAATGAACAATGACTTGTACTACGCAGGCCACTGTGTCACAATATTTACTGTTTCAAGCTTTTGTGTTGTATTTAGATCAGATCGATCCTTGTGGTCTAAGTTAAGTTAGCCTTTAACTATTTGCTGCACTTTTCATTGTGACAGAATCATTGAACTATAATGTAAGAATGGGAAATCTCGGTAGATTAATTTCCCTTGCGACTTTAGCCCTTTGGGCTCTTTCATCTTCAATTTATTGATTTTGGTTCCTAAAGATGGTGAAGGTTTCTTTTTTTTCTTTTTTCAAGAAAAAAAAATTCATCATACCCTTTTACACAGATTATCATATATTGGCATTAAGATATGAATAGAACATATCCCAGAAACGTTTTCAATACCATTAAGCTTCTCTCTGGAATTATAATAACGTAAAATGCGCCATCTTATAAGGAAGAATTACAATTTGTCATAGGCGTAATTTTCACAAAAGCTTCATAAAATGATAGGCAGATGACGTACATATTACATAAATTTGGATATTAATCCTCTAAAACGAACACAGTAAATTACATAAAATCAGTCTCGAGCACCTAAAAGTATTTTCAGGTGTGATGAAGAGGATCAGTTAAAGAAACAATATAATTATTCAAAAGCACAAGCCTTATCTGCGGCACTTCCTTCATCTTCCCCAGTCATATAAAGTTGGGTCGATTTCGTTCTGTTGTTTATCGTGCCTATCGTGATGGCTGATATTTTAATGAAATGATTAATCTTTCGCCTCTGATAAAAAAATAAAGAAGTCTAAAGCATAAGCCTTCTGCGCGATGAACAATCGATAGTGTGAAATGCAAGTGACGATTAATTAATAGCCATGCACAATGGAGGAATATTTATTCTTGGCCCAACGGAAGCTGTTATGTATAGAACCCTTCACTTAATTTGCCTTCAACAGCATAAGCCTTTTAAGAGATAATCTTTGTTTAATTTCTCTTCGTTGCTGCATTATTAGATTGCCATGTCGATACTGCGTAGGACGGGGATGATGACGTGAACCTACTCTTGCGCGTATTATCTATTGTGTAAATAATAATCACGGTTCGGATTATGAGCTTTGGTGGCGGTGGTACTGATGATGGCTGTTGCGGTTATAGGTTTGTACAGCCATTTTTCGTTGTTCGACGAGTAGGCCTGTGTACAGTACTCAACCTTCTCTCATATTTCCCGGAGGAATATGGTAGATGAATGAATGAGAGAGAGAGGGGGGAAAGGAAGAAATAGAGAAGAGGGGAGAGAAAAGAAAACTGAAAATTGATTGGTAAAAAGTGTGAGAAATGAAAGCTTTCGAGTTTGAGGTAATTATGACAGTTAATGATGAAATGTAGAATTTTTTGGCTCTAAATAATGGCTATGTGGATTACAATTGGAAAGGAGGGAGAGAAAGAGAGAGGGGACAACCTTAAATTTCTCGAGTTGCAAAGTTAATTTGGTTAATCTATTTTCCTTGTGTCAATGTCATGTATCCACTCCTTCAAATTCTTATCAAACATTAATTTTAGTTTAAAAATTTTGACGTATTTTATATTCAATTTAGTATAGCACTTTTGCTCTTGTATAATTTTGTCAAATCATTATGCGTACCTCCTAGGTAATTGTCGTAACGCAAGACATCACATTGCTTAATCCATCTTAAAATTCTGGACGAGCTGTTCGAACATAGATAGACATTATAAATAGGTCAACTGCAATTTTTATAGGAAGCAAAATAACAGACTTTTGCAGATTCTTGAAAGTTGATGACATAATAAACTGAAAGAACAGTGAGAAATTAAAATCAAAAAGTGAATTTATTAATAAGTTGGTCCTGTCTTGAAAGAACTAATGATTAATCACTAGAATGATCTCAAGGATTATGCAGAAATTAACTCATATAATGCAATCAGTCAAAGATGGAGATCAACATCCACACCATCACATATATCTGTCAAGCCTGCTGATTTAGAAGTTCCTCGATTATCCCAATTTCCGCCAAGGGCCGCCTGGTGCGGCCGCTCCATATGATATCCACCACCTCTACCACCACCAGGGTATCTCATAGGTACTCCTGATAAAACTTGAGGAGGTACATGTACACAGTTTTCACCTGGTGCATGGAACCTTGCACCATACGCACTTGTAGGTGCACCTGGACTAATGAACGGCCCTAAACGAGACGTATGCGGATTAATTATCGGAACAGTAACTCCTAACCGTCGATGATGATCGTAGTGGGTCCGCTTTGCTCTTTGCCGTTCCTTCTTATGTGCATTCTGATGACCACCTAATGCCTGAGAATTCGAGAACTTTCTGTGGCAATGTTGGCATTCAAATCTTTTATTGTCTGCATCATGTTGTTGCATTATAGCCATAGGGGCACGTTGAGTGACTGGAAAACCAAATAGCTTCATAACTGATGATGATGAAGTTGCATGATTCTGATCAGATGGACATAATTCTCCGGGAGATGATGACGATGAACTACTAGGAATCCAGTTTTCTTCCATTTAATTATATGTATATATGTTATATATTTATTACATTTGCAAGCCAATATTTGAGCTGAGGTATTTATAGACAGATTAAAAAATATTATGAAATGTAAAAAAAAAAAAAAAGGTGAGTTGTAGGTTGGGACAGAATACTCTCAACCCTACATGAAAAAGTAAGCACATTTTGTAATGTAGTGCTGATAGGTGATGCTTCCTACTGTGTATGAGTCACATGACATCTGAACCAAAAACCTAAATTTACCTGTAAAAGAAGGTTTAAAGATTATATTTCTTTTGCAACCAATAATATTGAACATTCACAGAGACTACAATTCAATTCCTTTTGGAGGTTTTATTAATTCTTTTCCTTGTCATCTTTTGCACAATTCTTAACTTAGTCTCTTCTTGACATGTTCAACAAGGTAGATTAAGGAGTTCAGTGGCCATTACAGACTAGTACTACGTTAGAAACATGCACTATTAGTAGACATATCACAGTTTATTTAGCTGTGGTTATAGTTGTTGTAGATAGTCACTTGACGAAATGGGAATTATTAATTTTAGTAAATTGATAACCTTAGGCTTCTCCCTCCCAGGTGTTTCTGCTTTTAGATCTACGTAATGATCACTGTATTTATCAAGTTTTTTACACAGAAACTAATGCATGTCACTATATATATGATCACAATCAATGACTCATAGTTTCTATTAGACACCAACGTGGGGTTTATTGGCCCTCCATGTCTAGAGATGATGATGACAATATCTTGTGCAATCCAAGCTTTATGCCATGTTATCTCGACCTTATCTTGTGAGTTAAGTATGACTGCACCCCACCTCACCCGGCGCCATTCACGCACAATACTAATGAGTGTTGGAGACGTGCAAACAGAAGTACCACATCAGCTATACATGAGATGGTCTTGGTTTTATTATAAGGGATTTTGCTAGAATAACTTTTCGGGATGAAACTTCAAGTTCCAACAATTGGTATTAGAGTCATCCCAGAGTTGATCACGTGGACACACAAGATGAATCTCCTGACGTGCATGGAAGATCCAAACGAAGGTGTGGATTCTAGTTAATTGCGAGAGATGTAGACGTTGACGAAGTATGTGAGATGGATAGAAAGAGTCATTCATGAGGGAATGTGTATTATAATGTGGTACATTGTTTGAGGGTGGTTATTAAATGGGGATTTGAGTACTTTGCGGAATAGGTTAACCATTTGAGATATAAAACCTCAAATCCCAACGTAAGGGACTATACAATGTTGTTAATTTCTCGTTCCATCATCCTCCTTTTCTCAAACTGTAGTATTTCATGCCTGAGGAATGTTTCTATCCTTTGCACTATTCATGATTATCAACAATCTGTTGAAGCATACTGTTAGAATTTGGGTGTGACTCGAATTCCTTTTTGAAGTAATTGAATAATTTTAATTGAAATGCACATCAAGAAGAATTCAGTTTGGACTGCTATTGGAGTCTTATGTCAAGTTGAAGTTTTATTTTAGAAGCCCATTGGGAGTTGTAATTTGTTTTGGACTCGATTTTTTGGTATCCTACTTCATCAACAATTCTACTAGGAGGGTTTGGCCGTCCCTACATGTTCTCTATAAATACTAGACTTTTTTATACAATTTTATGGTGTGAGAAAATAGATTACTAGAATTATAGGATCTATTCTAATTTTTCTCTCTTCTCTATCATTCTTAAGTCAATAAAATCTCTTAATTCATCTACCATATTCTTATCTTTATTATTCTTTTACTTGATCATATACTTCATTATTATTTGCCATATAACTTCAACATTTCAATCCGGTGGTTTGTTTCACAACAATTGGTATCAGAGCACCATTTTCAGCAATTCTGCAATAGCGCAATGTTTGATTTGTTCCAAATTTTTTATTTGTGATGGCTTCCATGAAGTAGGACATTCCGCTTTTGGATTGGAGTACTAGATTTTCACTATGGTAGGTTAAAATGCATGAAGTACTCGCACAATTGGATTTGGATGATACGTTGTTGGGAATTGTCAGGATGCCCGCAACTTTGACAGCGGAGGAGAAATTACGAAAGGATAAGAAATTAGTTTCTCACATTCATCTTCATATATCTAATACTATTTTTCAGGACGTTTTGAAGGAAAATTCAGCAGTTCCTTATCGTTGAGGTTGGAGCAATTGTGCATGACTAAAAGTCTGACAAGTAAGTTGAACCTCAAGCAGCGTTTATACTCTCATCGAATGGCAGAAGGAGGATCATTGGAAGATCACCTGGCAGTATTTAAGGTGATCGTCCCTGATTTGGAAACTTTGGAAGTAGAGTATGATAAAAAAGATTTGACCTTGATCTATTGTGTTCGTTACTAGCTTCATTTTCTTCATTTAGAGACACGATATTGGATAATCGTAATATTCTCACCATAGAAGAAGTGTATGATGCTTTATATTTAGAAGAGAAGATGAAGTATCTAGTTTCTGAGGCCAGAGATGGAGAAGACCTGATTTCTTATGGTGGTTCTGGAAGAGACATATCGAAATCTAAGTTCAATAATCAAATTTGTAACTACTACAAGAAGAAGGGGCATTTAAAAGAAAGATTGTTACAAATTGCATAATAAAGAAATGATGGTTGCAAGTAGATATTCAGATACTTCAGGTGACGTAGATTTCGTGAAGAACGTTGTAAGTGATGGAGATCTCTTAGTTATTTCTGATATTGAGTCTAAACCGGAAGATGATTGGATTCTTGATTTACCATGTGTGTTTCATATGTGTCCTAATAAGGATTTGTTTGCTAAATATGAAACTGTTTCCAATGATGTCATGGTTATGAAAAACAACGCATCTTGTCAGGTTACTGAAATTGGTACAGTCAGATTGAATATTTTGGATGAGACAATTAGAATACTTGGCTAGGTTTGACATGTTCCAAATTTGAAAAAGAATCTAATCTCGTTGTCTATCCTTGATTCAAAATGTTATGAGTTCTTCGATGGAGGTGGAGCTTTGAAAGTTTGTAAATGTGCCCAAGTTGTATTGGAGGGGCAGAAAAGGTCTTAGTTACACATCTTGCAGAGTCGTGCATAATTTAGAAGAGTCAATCAGCACAAGTTCAGGACCGTGGTGGACATTCAGTTTGGTACAATACCTTTAGGAGCTCATAAATGTTCGGATTTGAAGAATACAATTTAGTGAAGTTCAGAAGATATGGATAATGACGCTTTGTTACCATCACCTGCGGTGCCATTGTATTCAATTGTTAGGGACGAACTTAATGGAAAAGGGTATGTGGATGCTGATTTTGTTGAGCACGTTTTAAGTGGAGTAGAAGGTGTACAATCTAGTAAGGGACATTTTTTAAAAGTATTTGAGTTTGATTCTACTTTAGGGTGTGTTACATCCCATTTTGATTAATTTAAAATCATTATAATTTTTTGGGAATATGAGGTAATTCTGCAGAGTAGTGCTTGAATTCATTGTTGAGGAAGCCAATTCATTTCTTGGTTGAATTCGTGTCAATATGGAGATTGTTTGAATTTGAGTGTGACTCGAATTCTTTGTTGAAGTAATTGAAAAATTCTAATTGAAGTGCACATCAAGAAAAATTCAATTTGGAATGCTATTGGAGTTCTATGTCAAGTTGAAATTTTATTTTGAAAGTTCATTGGGAGTTGTAATTTATTTTGGACACGATTTTTTAGTATCCTAATTCATCAACAACTATATTTGGAGGGTTTGGACATCCCCTACATGTTCCCTATAAATACTAGCCTTTTTTATACAATTTTATGGTATGAGAAAATATATTATTAGAATTATAGGATCTATTGTAATTTTTCTCTCTTCTCCATTATTCTTGAGTCAATAAAATATCTTAATTCCTTGCCATATTTTTGTTTTTATTATTCTTTTACTTGACCATATACTTCATTATTATTTGCCATATAACTTTTACATCTCAATCTGGTGGTTTGTTTTACAACACGTACTTTTTGATTGCTAGGTAGATGATGCATGATATTTCTTGCACATATATCTGATTAGCAATATTCTTGTACTGCATTCATTGCATGTGATTGGGGTTCAGGCAATATACACTGTCTACCATATGGTAAATAGCAAGTACAAATTTGGAGGACATGAATTTATGATTAAAAAAAAGAAAAAGATAAAAAAAGATAAATCTCTTCCATCCATTGGTTTCTTTTGTTGTTTGCAAACTGTGGTGGTACACTGATGTTTTATCAAGTACAAATAATTCTAACATCCTTTGTTATCCAATATTGTACCCAGCTCTCTCTTTTATCTTTTCTGATATGAGTGTATGTACACATTTCCCCCCACTAAATTTAGATTTAGAATATATAGTATAGCATTAAATTATACTTTTTTCCCTTTTGATAAGCATGATGGATGATGCAGGATGTCGACAACAAGACATTTCTTGCTTCAATAAGACAGAACATAAAAAGAGACAGTGATTGGTGGTGAAGGCCTAATCCGAGGAATGGCTAGAGAAGACGTGACCTTAAGGTTGACGAACCAGGGCCATTGATTTTGTGAACATGCTCATCCTAAGTGCTTTAAACTCTATCGAGAGGGCGAAGTAATTTCCTTTGAAGATCCTTAACTCCACAAACAAATAGATGAGATAGTATCTAACTCAGATTTTTTTTTTTTTTGGGATTTGCCTTTTCTATCACGTGCATTTTTTTTTTTGGGTCAGCGCACGTGAACTCCCGTCTCCGAGCACAACACAGCCCGGCTCTAGGGCAAGTCGATCAGGCTAGTCGAGTCTGGATGGTTGAGCATATTTTGACACTTTTAGGTATAAACATTAACTATGCTCCTGATTTAAATTTAAAATTATTGTCTGAAGTACTCAGTTGATGGATCTAAAGTGTATAACTGGCCAAAAATATATCTTTTGGAATAGTGGTTGGATATTGCTTCTCTAAGTTTTAGGTTTGGATTTGTGGAGAGTAACATCAGTAGATTTCAGAATC